ACATATATATGATATTTATAACTGCCTAATATACACCTAGAAGGCGTCGTTATTAGGAGGCGTTTATGGCTCGGGCATCATAAATTGCATTGTCGCTCCGTGGAGGGAAAACGAAACGAAAATTGCGGGTTTCGCGATAAATGCATACATATAGGCAATTTGATTATGGGTGGATGGTGGATGGATTTGTGTAAAGCTATTTAGAAGAATAGCTAATACATGGTATCATTAATAACTCGAAAGACATTGTATTATCTGTATTCTGGACCATCTATAATGACAAATACTGATGAATAATTTTGTATCACGGTCAATGTAAAACTAAAACAATACAAGCAATAATTTAAAATTTTCCATGATCTGTCTTAAAAAATATCAGAAAAAGGAGTTATTAGTACCATTCTTCTTATAAATTACTACAAAAATGAAATTTGGTACAACTATTCTGATATTATTGTTTAATTTTGATGATTTAACGTTTTGCCCAACTTGATAATGTGCAAAGCAGAATTTGAAATGAATTTTGTTTTAGACAAATTGTATAAATTGCCTTAATAATTGAATTTATCTATAGGGTAAAAACAGGCTCAAAGGTCCGCGGGTTATATAGTCAATCACCAATATCTTGAAAATAAGTAAAGTTAGGAATTGCGTTTCACAACAATCTTTGAAAATAGAGGGCAAAAGATATACAACCTGCCATTACCTTGATTCTTACGACGTCGCTATCAGGAGATAAATGGCTATGTTAATAAAATCTATAAAAAATAATTTTTTCGTTGTTATGTGTGCACTGTTGTATAGCTTATAAGAACTTAATATAATTTAAGTATACGATATTTAATTGTTTTATGAGTATTGTTAATTTTAAATTAGATTCAACAATTTTCTTTATATGACCTCTATTAAATCTTGCATATGGGTGAGGCGAAAGGACCAATTGAACCTTTTCCTTGGCAAAGATGTAAGGTTTACACTGTAAACAATAAAAAAATTGTAAATATGGAAGTGAATTAAGAAAAAAAAAATAAAAAAATCAATTAGATAAATGATTATTCCATCTTTGCTGATGGATATTTTTGACAAATTGCCAGATCAAGGTTATATACAGTTTCATCTCTGCAAAAAATGTACTTAAGAAATTTATATTTTGCATTGGTTGAATAATGTAGCTATTATTTTGTAAAATTCCTTTAAAATTACAAATAGGACATTGAACCTATGTGTATCCCCTGGCAGTCCCATTTTACCCCAACTATGGAGTAAAAAGGATCAGGTGACAAATTTTTGAAAAAAAGTAAAGAAACATTAATTTGCGTTGTTGTTTATGATATGGTTGGATTGGTTTTCACAGTATAATTTTTCAAAGGAGCTTTTTAAAATTGAACCTTTGTTAAAAATGAATATATCAACTGTTTATTGAAATGAAACGGTGCTGCCTATTTTTACACAAAATCAATAAAAGTGGGTATCAACTGATTTTGCCAAACAAATTTAGATATTTAATTTTGAGAAAATAAATAAGCAGTATTTAGCTTTTTTTTTTAAGAAAGACAAGTAGTTTAACGACGATATAAGTAAGACGCGCTGATAACATATTCGTGTATTAACAGTTAAGTATTATATATATTAATAAAAATGCTTATAAAAAAATCTGTAGAAGCACCGAACAAACCGTCGAATATTAGATACAAATATCGTGTAAGGTTTTTATATAAAAACACTATGATACTGCCAAGTCTCTTCATCTTACTAATAATATTTAAAACAGTAAAAAATTAGCTACATCAAAATATCTCTCCAACTATTCCGTTCCGTTCAATGTATCCATCTAACCATACAACTAAACCATTCATCTAAATTGCTCTTAAGTGCAAAATCTAATTCCCTAAATCCTTGATTTAATTATTCACGGGTCCCGAATTCAAATAAAAACATGCCCTCATCCCCCTTTTAGTGTACCGCGTTCGTGATCATAAACAAATCTTTTTAGAATCGATTTTAAATCTTACCCCTTACTTAAGGTTTTCACTTTTTCACCACAAGCAACCGCCAATTTGGTATTAAGACCGATTTTATGGATTATTCCTATCAATTCCGCACAGTTGGGTCACTATGAAGTAACAATCTATTATTTTGTAGAAACATTACACGTGAGATAAAATGTGGTAAGAAAGAGTGGATACAATTTGATGAGGTGGCTGGTAAGAATACAAGGGAACGAGCAACCAATAATTGGTCCTATTTCAACCAAAAACTAATTAGTACGATTACTAACTGAATTTGTCGTTTGTTCCTTTCCAGAAAATAAGAATTTCATTGAATTTTATTTTGTTGTAATAATGTAGATTTCGACCAGAAAATAAGTATAAAGACTAAAAACTAATGTAGACCCTGTAACTCAACCCTAAATATCAATTTTTATCAACGTTATGAAATTTGTCCACTAACAAAGTGATATCTAGGAATACAAGTGGTTTTTCAAGGTGATTTTTGAAAGAGATGCTGGTGACACCACGAGGGTGCTGAAAGTTTGTCAATAAAACACCAAAAAATATTTTTGCGTGGATTTTAAAAAAAAAAGAAATCAAAATGTGTAACCCTTACAATATAATATATCAACAAACAACAGCGCATCTCTTTCTTTGGTTTGAACTTCAAATAATTCAAAAATGACACCGAAAGGATTGGAAAAAATCCCATATAGTTTTCTAACGAAAGGTTCAGCAAATATTTCTTACTAGACCCCCTACTAATAATTTTGTTTCTAATTTTATTGATGGAAAGCAGAGATCTCTCTCGGATCCATCTAGTCTACCTATAATATTGTATGAAGGCATTAAGACACGGCGCATTAGACACAGAAAATGCTATTAATCCGATTTAGAAATTATTAGCGCACGAAAAACTGAAAACAAATAACGAAAATGTGGAAAAACACGGTCAAGTGTTATAGTAAAAATTCACTAATAATAAGAGTTTAGTACAAAAATCGATGCTTTTAAAAAAACATAGTAAGTAGCAAGTTATAAGAATCATACTTATAATAAACTAGTGTTTGATAAAGTTTATTGATTTTGTTCATGGTAAATGTACCTACTATAAAATCTAAATTCATGATTTCATTCATCATGAAATTTACGATTTAGTATTTACTTTGATGGAAACATATTGATAAATATTTTTAAGTGAAAATGGACATCGCTACTGCACGATGTCGGGTTGTCCTCAGTGGGGCTAGCACAAACGACCCCGTCCACACGAGTCCGTGAGCTTAACCATCACACCATGGAACATCCTTATATATATATATATATATATATTAAGTTTGATGTTCGTATACATGTATAAAATCTTCATAACTTTTACATAAATTAAAAATCAAAGAGTTTTTGTTTATTTTCATTGTACCAAATGTTTTGTTATAATATTAAATATCTATATTTCTACAATTTATTTTCAAAAACACATTATTTTCAAAAAATGAATTATATGCACAATATTGTTGAAAATAGTATGTATTATGATTTTTGTAATAGTGAGCAACATTTTTATTTAACACTGATGATTACATAGAAGTAGATACCAGACAATCAAGATTCTCAAAAATTATTTGATTTTTATTTTATGTAAGGTCTTCAAAGATTTTATATATATACAAAAGGTTCCTAGTCTAATAATCGCACGTAAAATTTGTTTTAAAAAATGATAATAACATTCGTTCCCAACTGTTTCGATTTTGCAAAATTTTTGTAATATTATATTTGATTTTAATGCAACAATAGATTGAAAAAAGCTGGAACGAACGTCTGTTAGTAAAAAATGATAAATCATAATTGTTAGCAGTTCACACAGAACCCGCATGTTTGAAGTGAAACTTCTTAGGATAGGATCATAGTCTGAGTGGCGTAATTTAAATTTAAACCAAATTGATTACTACATCAAAGTACATATCTTCTATAAATCCACGTGCCTTTACATTGAAAGTAATGTATCGATGAATTTTATATAATATTAAATGAAAATATCTTAAATGTAGATTTTTTTTAACTAAATCATAGTTATAATGTGCGCCTTTATAAATACATACAACGAGTTGCAATTTTTTTACTTATAATATTCGTTCATAATTTCTTAAACTTTGGCCTAACTGACTTACAAACGAACTGATAAATCATTAGAAACATTGTGCTTAATTGAAACATTTGTCATTATATGTTACAAATAAATTAAACTAATTAATGTTATTAATAAATTACATATTTCACCATAGCCGTATAAAAAAGTTTTTTACAAATTTATATGGAAATGATTTTTCATTTTTTCCAAAGTTTTTAAAACACTCATAAAACAGCTGGTCCTGGTAATATTTTTTACATAGTGGATCTTTTAGAGTTATCGTCAAATCTTAAGAAGTTTCACTTCGTCGTAAATAAAGGCAGTATCAAATCGAGGAATAATGAATAGTTTTGATTAATCGTACTTGAAAATATTGTCGAGGAAAAAGAATTGTTACATATGAAAAATTGCTTGCATAAAGTTTGCACTTTGCATAACGTATTTTACAAAAAGTATTATGACGCTTGATTTATATTTAATAGAAACTTAAATCCATATGTAAACAAGGTTAAACTTTTTGTGGTCATCAATTAAATGTAATAAAAAAGAATTAAAGTTTATATCAAAATATTTGTGCAAATCTTTATGGAGTCTTATTTTTTGTGACAACGATTGGCAATTTCAAGAGTCCGATCGCCACACAAAAAACATAAACAAAACCATTTTCACAAAACCTTCACTTTTTCTACCAACAATCCTCCGATTCCAAAAAATCAAATCTATCCATTACCATTCCCTGACACCACCTTAAATTAAAAACCAATAATAAAATGCATATCAAAAATAAAACATGTATGATAGAAACGTGCCCGGGCTCAAGATGGTTTGCGGGCGCCGCGTGGGACTGTTTGTACGGCACACACAGATCGGCCGGTACGAACCAGGAGTGCGAAAACGGCGCCCCAACGCCGCTCACTGATCCGACCATTCCTGGACCCATGCCGGGAACACCGCCGGTCATCATTGGGGCCGTCTGGCGCTGATAGCCCGCGTAGTCCATAGCCACGGCCTGATACGGGAGCATGGTAGTTGATGACGTTTAACACTTATTGACGCACATTAAAGGAGTTTATTTACACATTTTTGGACGCATGAAAGTTTTGCCTTTGGAAATGCATGTGTACACGATGGTAAAATGACACTCACATGGGTAAATGACACAGTGGTAAAGGACTGAGAAATATTTAGTTATTGCTCGTAAAACAAAAGTCTAAGTTTTAAGTATATAATATTTAGACAACCTATTTTTTATAGTAAACTGCATCTAAAGTGATCAATTGCTTGGATTTTTCATCAAAAAGTACTAACTAAGCTAAAACTTCAAACTATTTGAAACACTCTGCATTAGTGTTTTGAAATATAGATCATTTATATTCAATTATCTTATTTTCTGATATTTAACTTCTGATCTTTCTAAATACAATACTAATTATTTATGAAATAATCATGTTTTCACGTATGTTTATCAAAACAGTCGTGGCAAATTAGAAAAAAGCGTTTAAAATTTCAATGCTTTCGTTTAAAATTACACAAAATATATTAAGTGTTAGTTAGTTTCTAGATGTATATATAATGCGCGAAGCTAATGAACTTATGTTTACTATGTTAAAAATATTTATTATAGTTTAGTGCACTTGAAAATTAATCACAGTAATTATTGCAATAAAGTATACTAAAAATACAGTCCATATGATATTTACACAGTTCGTTCTATCACACTAACAATGAGTATTTTTATTTTTTACACTACAGTATTTTTTACAATAGCCACTGCCACATTCCACTTGTATGTCACGAATATACTGTATCACTTATTAACGCACACGCGCACCCGGACGATACGTCACTCGCCGCTCCGCGATTGGCAATGTGACCTGCGACTCGTCGCGGAGTCGCGTACCGTGCAAGGGCGTCGCCTAAAACCGATATTCGTGCGTTTCCGTCGCACGCTTCGGTAATTTCAAATGCTGTAATTGGCGCACGCGATATCGGTCGGCGGGCGTTTCGGATTATGGTCACGCCCGCGAACTCGGTCAACAAGTGCTCATATAGGTAGCGAAGGTAAGAGGTAAGATATCGCATGTGACGAACTGGCGAACAGGTCGACGGGGAACAGGTACATACATACAAGGTGGGGCCGGCATAGTGATCAATGATAAATGTCGTCGTTTTGCTAGTGAATTATATGAATGTATCTTTTGGTTTTGAATGACCGGAATTATGTTTTATTATTGTATTACAAAGTCGACTTAAAAGGCTTAACATGTTTTTAATTTTCATTATAATATATTATGTTCTTAATAATTAGCCAATTAAATATTGAAATAAGGGGCCAATTATCGGATAGAATATGTATGTCTATAATCGTTTGCATTGTTAGTCAAGGGGACTGTTAAAAACTATGTATTTGCTGTGCTATCAGACGTTTTACACATAAAACATAACCTACAAAACGTACAAATGTCAACTTTCTAAAGTCACTTTGATAACACACACGTGAGATTTTATAATGATCGCACAGCAAGTAGAAAACTTTTTGACAGTTTGTTACTACCAACTCATATGAACATAGACCCCTAATATAGCTTTACCATACTATACATATTTTATCCAAGTATTGTCCCCTAAATTATATTTTATAGTTTATAGACATAATTAGTAATGTGATCACAGTAATATGGCCATAATACGTCTCAGTTTGGCCAGGACAGTCCCGGATTCCACCCTGTGTCCCGTTATTTTTTTTCTAAAAGCAATATTTCTCCCGGATTTAGATTGAAAAGCAAAGGTTTAATAAATTGAATCTTCGCAATTACTTTATAATAAAATTATAAGCATTACAGCTGCTTCTGTAAAATGATATATACAACAAGTACATTACTAAATCACTACAACTGCCATTTTAAATTTTACTGCCATTTTTATTTTTTTTTGAATTTGTCCCGGATTTAGATCTTTTGTCCCGGGCTTACGAAAAGCAAAGGTTTAAAATGAATCTTAGCAATTTGAGAAATGTGATAATAAAATTAGAAGCGTTACAGCTGCTCATCAAATATTTAAAGTGATATATACAACTAGTACATTAGTAAATTACTACAACTGCCATTTTAAATTTTACGAAAATTGGCAAAAATAAGAAAACTGAACAGATTTTTAATCAGAAACTGCTTAGTATCAGATCTACATACAATTACATTGATATAAGATGTTATTTTTTAGGGCTTAACATAATGTTTTGCATGATAGATTTTTTTATTTACATTTGTGAATTTTGCATGATAGATAACCCATTAATCATTCTCCTAAAAAGAAAACGAACAACTCGCCCTCCCCCCATTCTAAATTAGCACAATAACAAATTGTACTGTACCGGTTTTGACACAAAAATATGGTCAACTATAAATAGGCTTCTATTCTACAATGTTATCTTACCATTTGCTGACCGTGAAATAAGAAATCGATAATATAATGTCATGTTCCTAGCCTATATTATTTATTTTGTATACTTGACACGTAGTAAAATCGAAGGAAATTATCTCGCTCTACGGAAAAGCATGTAGATAACAGAGCAAACGCTCTGAATTGCCCTTTATGAAACGTTTATACCTTATATTGAAATTTTCTTTAATTTTGATTTACTAATTCTCAACATCTTACTACGATTATTGTAATTAAATCTTGTACCTATTATGCTATGTATGCTGGCCTGATCGCACAGCAAATATATAGCTTTTGAACGGTTAGGGACTCATACGATTATAGGCTCGTAACATTACATTTCTATTCTATCGGAGGATTGGCTCCGTGATTAGCGCAAATTCCAACTAAATAACAGTTTTAACGAAATCACAAATCCCACTTTTTATCAATCAGAATTGTTTTCAAGGGGGCAGCGGTGGCGATACCGGCATCGGTGCTAGCACCAACTAGTCCCGGGTTTGCTGGTTCGATTCTCGCTACCGCCAAAGACCGACATCAGGCAACTTTGATTGAAAATTTTCACTTGAGGTTATAGACCTCAAATATAGCCATTAACCTTAATTCCTGCAACCACGTTATCAGGAGATAAAAGGCAATGTTTGAAAATCCATAGTAAAAGATTTTTTTAAGTTTTTGTAAGTTTTTTTGGTTGTGAGCGCTGTTGTTTAGTTTGTGAGACCTTATTACCATTTTAAGTATATGTTTCCAAGTAAAAATAGTTTTTATGCGGCTATTTTATCACTTTTACAGAAATTGTAATAATAAAATTCATCACACAGGGATGCGACAACGGTTTTGTTTGCCATCTAAAAAAAGCTTTAGGTCAAATTGTCATAACAGTTTATGGGACTGAAACTAAGTTTTGATCGCTGTTTAAATAATAATAATAATACTTTAATGTTTTACTTAATTTTGTTGATGAAGCTCATTTGTTACTATATAGTTTTAACAATATTGACAGTATGATCCACGTTGCCGGTTTCGATAGTGCCTTACCTGTGACACCTGTTACAAAGGGAATGACCCTACGCTCTTAAAATAATGAAACTCGAATGTAAACACAAATAATGCATTCTCAACGCGCACTGTATATCTGAAACGTTTACCGTGGAGTCAGTCGTCTTTACTCTTTACTTCTAGTACTGTGCGTTATTGCTTTTTACTATTCTATGCGTGGTGCGTGACATCCGGGCGGCGGCCGCTTACGAATTGACTCTCTATGAGACCTGGGGCATTGGACGGCCGAAGACTTAGGAAGTTCTCACGATTTAAACAAATTTTTAACGGACTCTATATATAAACAGAGATCTATAAAGATTTATAAAAGCTGTGCACGATGGAATAATTTTTAACGTTCTGAAAAAGTTCACGTTTTCAGCAAAAAATTTGGTACACTACTTTTATGTTTATTGCGAAAAAAGAATCGACGACTAGGAAAATTATCCACAGTACTCATCTGGTTACTTCTACAATATATACTTTTCTTTTGTATTTTTTATTATTATTCTTGTTTTTATTGTAGGGTAGGCCGGCGCACGAAGATCCAATTTGACTTTAAGTAATTAAACTGTCTAAACCGGTGTTTCCTGGTTTATAGGCCACGCCTCACCTTAACGTTTCTAAAAACGTTGTGGCCCTCGTAAAAATTTAGCGAAAAATAAAAGAGAAGCTTTTAGATATCACTATTAAATTGTAATCAAATCTTCACAAGTTATTTTTATTTGGTTTATCAAGTTAATTTCACTACTGATTTTTCTACATTCAATCAAGTCTATTTCTAACTTTTCAAAGAAGAGGTTTGTTTTCGATAGAAAATATGACCTGGTAATTTTATGATTTTTGGACGTTTTTGGATATTTCCGAAAAGTTTTTTAAGAGCCCCTGCAACGATTTCAGAAGTTTAAAAGGCATTCCATATATTTCTATAAAAATTCGCGTTGATTATACGTAATCTAATATATTGGTTTCCAGATCTCACAAGGATCTCACAAGTGAGTAGCAGTCGTGAAATTCAAGGAAAATTGTGCATATTTTTTACAAAGATAACACTGTATATAAGCTTTATCTGGTATTTTATCAGAAATATACATCATCAAAGTTGTTTAGCTATTATTTTAATTTATTTCTTGTAAAATGGCCTTTACGATTTTTTACTGTTTACGCCCATAGAAGTATATGAAAACATCTATTAAATCTAACTTAAAATTAACAATACATCTCATATAACAATTATTTAATTTATACATACAAATGGTAATAAGGTCTCATAAACTAAACAGCAGTGCTCGAAACCGAAAAAGCTAACAACGAAAAAAAACACTTTTGTCAGAGATTTTCAAACATTGCCGTTTATCTCCTAAGAGCGACGTCGTGAGAATCAATCTGATGGATTAGAAAATTCTTAACTTTATTACTTAGATATCGGCAGTGGACGTTTTTACCCGCAGACCTTCAAGTCCTGCTCTAACTTCTTTGTTAGCATCCAAAAGGCAATATCAATTTCAAAGATATTAATAAAAATGAATTAAATAAAGTCGATGTATAGATGTCACAAAAAGAGGTTAGTTTTTATAATATAATCTTATTCCAAAGTTGAAAATAAGAAAATATACTAAACTGCATTGTACACATGAAATTGGTCAGCATTGGTCAAATATGAATCATTTTTAATCCTTTGGTATAAAATTCTGATTTTTTGAGAAAAATTGATGATAAAGTTGAAAAAATATATACATTTTTATAAAATTATATATACGCAAATGGTAAAG